CGCCCATTGTGGCTGATGCCACCGCTGGGCTGTTGGTCCTGGGTTCCATAAGAAAGTAGACTGAGCAAGCCACATGAATCAAGCCAGTAATCAGCACCCCTCCAGGACCTCTGCATCAGCTCCCGCTTCTAGGTTCCTACCCTGTATGAGTTCCTGCCCTGTCTTCCTTCAGTGATGAAAGCATATGGAAATATAAGCCAAATAAACCCTTTCCTCCCCAACTTGTTTTTTGGTCATGGTGTTGCATCAAAGCAATAGAAACTAAGACACACTCCTTGAGGGGAGAGGATGGAAGACCCTGGCCACATACTTATGGGGCAATAGAAAGGATGACCCAATGTAAGGGAGTCCGGGTGAGGCATTTGCTAAGACATGGAGACTTCTAGCACTTGGGACGTCCTTCCATACATGACCTTGGTCTCCTGCAGTTTAGCTGAAAACGTTTGTTAGTGTAGTCTCCCCTCGTGGGAAGTACTATTGGAATTCACTGAGGGACTTCTCCCCATCTCCCAGTTGCAGTCTAAAGATGTTAATGTGTCCAAGGGCCTTTCCCCATGCTGGGCTGCCTTGCACATTATGAAGGAGCCACACGTAGGAGAGGACTGGAGATCTGCCCTGCAACATGGGGCCTGGGGTTGTCTGTGACGAGAGCCCAGATGTTGGGGTTCCTGGTCTGGGCAGCTGAGAAAGTTTAGGAAGCCTGAGGGTGGGGCCTGCCAAGCATTGTGCCTCCTCCATCATGATGACAGCCACACATGTGCAGGGACATCAGGTTCCCAACAAGAGCTTCCTACCTCTTAGCCTCACAGCCTGTGTCTCTGGCCTCCCAGCTCCCTCTGGGAGTCTGTAACCGTGCTTGCCTTTATCCATTTCTGAGAGGAGCCCATAGGGCCATCTGCAAACTGACCATGGCTCTTGTCCTATTTTCTATGTTCCCCCATGCCTCCACTTCCTTACCTAAGCCAATGCATCCTATCCCAGGCCAGCGGAGTGAATGTCTGGTTTGTAAATGTCTTCCTGGGGGCACCCCAGGTTTCACACAGTCTATTTTGGGAACATCCAGGGATAGACACACAAAGATATTAGGTCTGGAGCCTGACACCTGGCAGGGTATAAACCATAGGAGTCTGGTTCTAATTGGGATATAAGAAATGGGTACAGATGCAGAGGACAGGCCCAAGTCCCAAAGACAGCATTTACTCCCAGATGTCTTTCCCCTCCAGCCAGGCTTGAATGAGTTAAGTTTGGGCTTCTGCTTCTTGTGGCTGGACTGACCTTCTGTCACTTTCCTCTAGCCAGGGTTCATGGCTGACTTTTATTTCAGGGATATTTTCTCAAGGAAAGAAACTGTCCTGCTGGCTCTGGTGTTTCTAATCTCAAGAGTTTTGAGGGCAGCAGTCACATGGTGGGATGCAGTGTGGCTGGACCCTGGCCCTCAATGCCTGGCTGTGCTGCCCAGCATTGTGTGTCTGGACTCTCGAGACTGCCCTTCAGCTGCCAAAGACGCTGCAGTAATGAGTACTGATAGCCCACTGGATAAAAAAACCTTCTCTTCAGGCTGCCAGCATGACCTCTTGCCACTGCCCCACGGTGAGCCAGGCCGCGCTTCCCACAGCACCCTTCTCCCCTCCCCACCTCTAGCCCTGAGTCACCCAAGCCTGCTAAGGAGAGTGTCTGAACAACCCTGGGGGCTTGCAAGAGCTCCCTGGGGACATCTCTAGGTACATGGCTCAGTTTATAGATACCAGGAAAACATGAAACGTGATGTGGGCTTTTCTGTAAGCAAATGCAGATCTTAAGAAAGAATATGAACAGCCTGAAATCAGGTAGGGGGAGGCAACCCCCCCTCACTGGGGGAAGCGAAACTCAGAGGCCTGCTTCTGCCTGCTCCTAGGAGCAGCTGGGCTGGGTATGCGGGGCTTGCATCTGCCCACAGCATCCCCCCTAGCACCACTCTGGCTTAGGAATGACCCACGGGTGATATAAGGGCAGCTTCTGGGCTGGAGAGAGCCCTGCCAGGAAGGGGGGAGTGTGTGCCCCTCTGTCACAATTCACCTCACACATGTCATTGATATCATCCTCTGAACAGTCTCAACAGTAATGTCCATCTCAATACGCACACAACACACACACACAGACACACATGTGCACACATACATATACATGTGGACATGTACATAGACACACACACATAGACACACATGTGCATACAGACACAGACACAGACACACAGTGTTTGGAATAAACTAGGGAGGCCTTCATGGCTGCACCCTCATGGGTGAGCAGCATTTGATATTAGACGCTCTGGGCTCCTAGAACCTGTTACCAACCACCACCCAAAGTAGTAACAGACCAGAAACAGCATCAAAGGATTCTGCAAAGCTGACTCAAACCCAGAGCAGGAAGGCCCTGGGCCATCATCTGCTGCCTACATTTTTTAAGCAGAGCTAGGACTTCTCTAAGGAAGAGCCATGCCAGACTCTGAGAAGGGACAGGCAGGGCCCTTGCCCTCCCCACCACCTCCACACTCACCAGTCACCTAACTGCTTCTGTTTTACACAGTGAGCTTTGAAGTGACTTTTTTTCTTCCTTTTTTGTTTTCTGAAATAGATTTTTTCTGAATAATAAATTCAATCTAGTTTCATTTCAATGAGAGTTTAAAAGACACTATCCTAGCAACAGTCACATTGGAGACACACTGGCTGCAGGCCACAGGGTGAATCCAAGTGCCCTTGATCTACAATGAAGCTGTCCAAGGTTTGCATTCATGGTATCACCAACAGGCCACCTGGTGCCTGAGCTGGGAGACATCTGTACTTCTGTGTCCATATGCCTATGCGAAAGGTCTTTGAGGGTTGACCCCCAAGGTGGTAGACGGAAAGCTGGTTTTCCCAGTCCGAGGGTTACCACCCAGGAGAGCACAGCCATCAGCAGAACTGTCTCTCCAAAGCCGGGAGCTGAGGGCTGTGAACTTTTCAACAGCACTCTCAGAATCTGGGCAGCATTGGGACAGCCTGGTTGTTCCTGCCCTTGGGGTTGCTCCATCTTTACTCTGAAGAGAGCCCCTGGGTCATAGGTGGGACAGACAAGGTTAGTTCTTCTGGGATGCTCCCACCGCAAACAGCCTCTGAGAGTATAGGCCACCCAGGCTAACATGAGGGATGAACAGCCCAGGACACTTCTTAGGGGAAGAACTGCAGCAAGAGGAGCAATCAGGCCTGACCCCAAGTCTGTCTATCACCCAAATCCACCTCCGTATGCAGCAAAGCAGAAGAGCTGGGTGGGGCCAGCCTGCTTGGGAGCTAGCTGCCAGGTTGCCTTGATGTGGAGCCTAGGTAAACCATTCACCTCCCAAAGCCACAGTGACCACAGCGGACCCACCCTGGGGGGCAGGGTAGAGTCTCCACGTGTTCTAGAATGACTGTCAAGGCAAAGGCTTGGGCTCACTGAAGATGTGTGAGATGCTGACTGCTATTATTCTCACTCTACATGGGTCTGTGCTCTACTCTGTCCTCCAAGGTAAGGAGAGACAAAACACCAGGTGAGACAAAACACGACCCATAACCAGTCCTTACGCAGCTTCTTGGGAAGGAAGAGGCCTGACCTAAACTATCCTGCCTTAGGAAATGTAAAGCACTTGCCTACACAGGGCTCAAGAAAGCTGCCCAGAGGCCCTGGAGTCAGGTGGACTGCACCTTTGTCTCCACGCTGCATATGTGCAGATATTTGGGTGTGGCTATCTGTGAGTCAGTGTCTGCGTACTTTGTGTCCATCTGTGTGTGTGTACATATGCACACACACATGCATGTAGATGCATGTGTTGCCAGGACTGTAACTGCCCTCTCCACCCTGAATGACCACAAATGGCATAACCTGGCTGGGGACTTCCCTGACCTGCCTAGCCAAGCTAGATGAGTCAGTGAGGTAGCAATATTGCTCTCCAGTTCTGCCCAATGGGAAGACCACTTAGATGCTGTGCCCAGGCTCCCTTCTGGGGGGAGAGGGCTACATGCAGGAGCTTGCATGTGTCCAAGGTGCCCGCTCACTCTTACTGCTCCAATGAGTGCAGCGGCCAGCAGTTATTAGGCAAGATAACTTGGACCCTGAGCCAGAAGCTCCTGCACAGATGGGGAAGCTGAAGTTAGAACTACCTGGTTCTCAAGAGCACAGCTTCCCTCAGTGAGGCTGAAAGCTCCCCCATCCAGCCCTCCCACCATCCAGGGATTAGCAAGGCAAGCCTGGGAGAAGTTAGAAAGGCTTATGGTCTCCGTGCACGTGAGCCCATACCAGGAATGAATCATATCATTATGGCAGGATTAGAAGTAAAATGCCATTAGAAAGTGCTGTGCACACCCTGGTTTAATAAGGTCAGCATCAGCCAGCAGCAGGAGGGCCAGTGCACGAGGCTGCAAAGCCCCATGTCTCCTCCTGCCCACAGCACAGGCCCAAGGAGACAGCACTAGGCCGCCAGCCCAGCTGACATAGATGGGGAACAAATGCTCTTTCTGCCAGGGCAACCCAGGCTCAACACTTTTCCCAAACCTGCTAAGAGCTATTTCAAAAATCTCCCTCACCAGGTACTCCTGATCAAACTCCCTCCACTCCCGGCCAAGCTCCATACCCCGGAACTGCCTATGCTTGGAAGGAATGGAGAATCAATCGATTGTACTTAACAGAAAATTCATGTGCTATTAATCTGCTGGGTTCCCGAATGGCAAAGCCCAGGTCTCTGCCGCCATTATCCAGCCCTGCACACGTATCAGGAGAATCTTACTGAGTGCTGAAGCCTGAAACTACTGCAGTGGCATGCAAGTTCTTTGAGGGAGGGAGGGGGTCTCCCCTGCCATCCCCAGCACATATGGAAGGCCACAGAGAAGACAACTCGAGGAAGATGTGCATATAGACTATGACCACTCTTCTCCATGGCCCGTCCCCAGCTTTCCCTCCTTGCTGCTTCATCTAGTTCAGGGAACAAGACAGGAGTGAGGGCAAATACTCACAGCTCCGGAGACCTGGACAGGATGGCAGACAAGGTGAGCAGGATGCAACCGTAGGGTCCCACTTCAAACTGAGGGAGGAGGGAAGAGGACCTGTTAAACACACATCTCCACTCTTCAAGCCACCTGTGCAGTCATACCCAAAGCACAGCCTGCCAGGGCCTTGGCTTCATGGCTTCCAGCCCAGCCACAGAGGTTGGTGGGTAGCCATAGAGAGCATACCTCATTCAGGTCTTCCTACTCGGGCCTTCTAAAGGACAGAGGAGCACAGAGTGAGACACCAAACCTGGGTGTGGCACAAATGCCATTATGGAGCCCATGTATGACCCCAGAGGCAACAAAGCCCAGAAGCAAGTGGCAATGGGAACACATTCCATCCCGGGACCACTGTCACCTCTGACCCTGACAGGAGGGAGCTGAGCTCTGCTGTTATTGCCTGCTGAACGAGGCTGCCCAGCTCCTGGGTGCATAGTAGAGGCCTAATAGGGGTCTGCCTGACACAGCTCCTTATACAGAAGAACTGAACTGTGCAGTCAGAAAGTGGACAGCAGATATACAACAGGGCTGGCATCCACTGGAAGGTCCCATCTTTGTTCCAGGGATGGCCCACCTTTGTTCCAAATTTACTATTTTAAAGGGATTTTTTTTTTTAACTATGTAACTTTGATTATCTGGTTATCTTGGGTTTGATTTGCCTGATACTAAAATGTTGCTGATGCGCATCTGGTCTATTTTGCATCTCAGTCTCCTCCCACTGGCTGCCTAGCTTGACAACCTGAGCAGCCACCTGACTGTAGAGGTGTCTCTGAACCTCCTGGTCCCTACCTACTTTTCTCCACTGTAAAATACAGGCAAGGTAGAAGTCTCTGCTTAGAGAAAGTTGTGAAACACTTAGAGCAGAGCCTTCTGGCACCCACAGCAGCTTTGGCACACTGTGGTTTAGAGTATGGCCTGCCTGGCACCCACAGCAGCTATGGCACACTGTGGTTTAGAGCAGGGCATGTTGGCACCTATGGTAGCTCTGATACACTATGGCACACTGCCAGCCCCACACTACCCACTTGCCCCATTTGCCCAGGGACCGCAGTGTGCTGGTTAGTTTTGTTTGCTGTTGTTATTATTGTTTTGATTTGATTTTGGCAACTTGACACAAGCTAGAGTCATCCAGTAAGAAAATGCTCAGTTGAGAAAATGCCTCTACCAGATCGCCTATAGGCAAGTCTATAGGGCATTTTCTTGACTGATGATTGGTAATATATTTTATTATTATGTTCTTTTCTAATGAGAGACAGAAATGGGGTTGATCAAGATGGAAGGAGAGGTGGGGAGGAACTGGGAGGATTAGAGGAAGGAGAAACTGTAATCAGGATATGTCACGTGAGAAAATAATCTATTTTCAATAAAGGGGGTGGGAAATAAAAATTTTGAGCACAGGGGTCTTTCCTGAGACTGATACTCCAACCAAGTACCATGAATGGAGATAACTTAAGAACCCTGCTGCACAGATGTAGCCCATGGCAGTTCAGTATCCAAGTGGGTTCCATTGTAATAGGAACAGAGACTGTCTCTGACATAAACTGATTGGCCTGCTCTTTAATTACCTCCCCCTGAGGGGGAAGCAGCCTTACCAGGCCACAGAAGAAGACAATGCAGCCACTCCTGATGAGACCTAATTGACTAGGATGAGAAGGAAGGAAAAGAAGTCCTCCCCTATCAGTGGACTTGGGGAGGGGCATGCATGCAGAGGGTGGAGGAAGGGAGGGATTGGGATGGGAGGAGGGAGAGAACCACAGGGGGGATACAAAGTGAATAAAGTGTAATTAATAAAGAAAAAAATAAAAGCCAATAAGACGATTAAAAAAATTTTTTGAAAATTGAAAAATAAAATAAAATATTAAAGAAGGGGGAAATAGAAAGACCTGGAGGAACTCCACAAGGAGAGAAAAAATAATCTGGGCACAGGGGTCTTTTCTGAGACTGATACTCCAACCAAGGACCATGTATGGAGATAACCTAGAACCCCTGCACAGAAGTAGCCCACGGCAACTCAGTGTCCAAGTGGGTTCCCTAGTAATGAGAACAGGGACTGTCTCTGACATGAACTCAGTGGCAGGGTCTTTGATCATCTCCCCTTTAGGGGGAAGTGCAGCCTTACCAGGCCACAGAAGACAATGCAGCCACTCCTGATGAGACCTGATAGACTAGGATAGATGAAAGGGGAGGAGGACCTCCCCATTAGTGGACTGGGAAAGGGACATGGGTGGAGAAGACAGAGGAAGAGAGGGAGGGAATGAGGGAGGGGACTACAGTTGGGATACAAAGTGAATAAACTATAATTAATAAAAAAAATAAATTTTAAAGATAAAAAATAAAATAAAATAAAAATAAAAAGCAGGATGAACAAGCCATGGGGAGCAACCCAGTAAGCAGCATTTTCAGCCAGTAAGCAGCATTCTTCTATGCCTTCTGCTTCAATTCCTGTTCCAGGTTCCTGCCTACAGTTCCTACCTGACTTCCCTCAGTGATACAGTATGACCTGAGAGTTGTTAACCAAAATAAATTCTTTCCTCCCCAAATTATTGTTGGTCATGGTGTTTTATTTTGGTTTTGATCTGGGGTTTTTTTGTTTGTTTTTCTGAGACAGGGTTTTTTTCTGTTTAACATCCCTGGCTGTCCTGGACCCCATGCTGGCCCCAAACTCACAGAGATTCACCTGTCTCTGTCTCCCAAGTGCTGGGATTACGAGTGTGTGCCACCATAACTGGCTGGTCACAGTGTTTTATCAAAGCAATATAAGCCTAAGTCAATAGTCTACTGAAATGAAGACTCTACAGCTCCCAGCCCCAAACCAGTATGAAAGTTTACTCATCCCACTTCGGGCATGATGAACTGTGTTTGAAAATGCAGTTATAATAGCTAGTACTCCTTGTATGGCAACAATAATTTTTAGACTGAAAGCTAAAAGAAGAAAGGGCTATTTCAACAAGAATGATGTAATGAGTACATTTTTATTTTTTCCTTGGCCACCAAGAAACTCAGAATCAAATATAGTATTCCAGTTCGGAAGCTATTACAGCTCAGGGTTCTAATGAAATTACCTCTCCTTCAAAGCACAGTCTTCATTCTCACCCTGGAACTCAAACAGTCAGTTAACTGACCATAAAAATGTAACAATGAGCAGAGTCCCTACACCAAGCACACGTGCCCTCCCGGCACAGTGGTGTACCTCTATGATCTCAGCACTGGCAGGTCGACAGAACTGCAGCCTCAGGCCTGTGTGCTGCGCTAGTTAGTTTTGGTTAGCGTTGTAAATGAGTGCGAGGCCAGCCTGGGCTGTATAGAGAGACCCTGTTACAAGAAAAGACAATACAAGAGGCCCGTCTCTACTAAGGAGCTACCTGAGAAGCAGGTGGGCGCTTGTCTGCTTGGAGGGGGTGACTCAGAAAGAAAAAGAAAAAAAGAAAGAAAGAAAGAAAGAAAGAAAGAAAGAAAGAAAGAAAGAAAGAAAGAAAGAAAGAAAGAAAGAAAGAAAACTTGAAAATTGTGGAGAACAGCTTAGTCAGAACAGGGTGGTGAGCTCCTCTGAAAACACATGGAGTCCTCACATGAAGCTGAGTATGGGGAGGGAGAGGCAGCAAGAAGAGATGTGATCACTGTCTTGGATGAGGAGAGAGAAACAAAGCTGCAGAAGCAGCCCAGAGGGGACCAGAGAGCCTTGAAAACACCACTCATTTTATAAACAGTCTCAACTCTTACTGTGGCAACAAAGTAAGTGAATGAACACCACTCAACCTCATCTAAATCCTGTGACCTCAAACCAGACACTTGGTGCTATGGTTCTACGATGAAAAGCATAGATAACTAAGACCCTGCCTTGCATATTTCTTGGGTTATTTATGGAGCACATTCTCAAAGACAATTCCTGTGCAAGTGACAGCTGCAAAGTAATGCTGCTGTCCCCAGTCAGGCGACCCAGGCTTGGGAGGACTCGGATCCTGTGTGCAGCTTTGATACAACCTTGTAGTTGCCTGAGGGAAGTCACCAAGTTCTGCCTCTGTCTCCCCACGGCCTCACTCTTTGTCGAGGGGAAGCCTCGGCATTAGGATCTGTCTCCCAGGCCAGGCCTGTGGAACCTATCACCCTGCAGCGCTGTGGTACAGCTGCGAACACGCAAGCCCCTGCAGCTGAACTCACCATACACAGTGGGAAGCTGTGACTCTTCAGTGTGGCATAGTTCCAGTCCTTAGGACACCTCAGTGAGTGTTTGCTTTGGGCCCCCAGAGAGAAAAAAACCCAACCCAACTTGGCCTTTTCTTCCCTCTCAGAACACAACTGAATGGCCCCAATATTCCTTCTTGCTTTTAAAAATATTTACTAAAATTATCTCATCAAATTCAAGCTGCCAAGACATGGGAGGCCTCAGGGCATCATGATGGTAGGAGAGGCAACCTGGGCCGGAAGCTATGGCTAGGGGTGGGAACAATGTCTGGTGCCACTCGGGAAGAAGGAGCCATTCTGCCAGCTCAGCTCCGGCCCTGGAAAGACATGAGCCCACCAATGGGCTGCTCACACTGGCTTGAAGCCACCAGACGCCTCTAGAGTGGTGAATAGCAATGAAAACAACATGAAGGCTGTTTATTTTGGGCAAAGGTGGCATGCATTTCCAAGCCTGGCACGAGGAGCCTCTCTTAAGCATAGCCCATGAAAAATGGATTTGGTGTGTTCAGTGCTGAGGCAGCTCAATGACTTCCAGAAAAAATATAAATTAAGTTGTGGAGAAACACAGTTTCCAGGGGAATGAGGCCAGGTATTGTCTAGACCTGAGGAACCATAGCTGCAGAGGAGAGATGCCTAGAGCCCAAACGTGTAACTGAGGGGCCCTCATCTGAGAGCAGGCCCCTCTCTCTAAACTTCTTCATGGTTTCTGTCATGCACAGGCTTCGTGGAAAAACCAGGGCACAGGCTGAGGCATGAGACCCCACTTGCAGGCAAGGATACAGAGGCCCTAGTATTTAGGGCCACCATCACAGGGGCAGTGACTTGGTCCCAGAGCCTTTCATGGACTGCACTATGGGTACTCCTCAGTCCTTAATCACATCACTTTTCTTCCATGGCTAGGACATCTCCTTGCTAAGAGGACAATCTTCCATGGGCCTCCCTCAGGTATCCTGCTATGCCCTCAGACACATCCATTCAAAGACAGCCCTGCTTCTGCTGACTCAGAGTGCCTGCCCTTTGTGTAGAAAGCATTTTACTATAGGTGCTCCAAAGTGTTCATTGATCTAGATGCTATTCAACTTCTCCAGCTTCCATTTCTAGATGAAGAAATGGGCTTTCCTAAGGCCAAGGCCACACTCAACCAGAGGTAAGCCCAGGAGGTGCCTAGGCCCTTGGTTCACGCCCTCTCCTTGCTCTCAGCAAGAATAGGGAACAGTGTCATTGGCAGACACCCTACAGGATTATTCCAAGAAATAAACAGAGAGAACCAAGGATGAGGCAATTAACAAACAGCATTCTAGGATCCTCTCTACATGTCACTCCTCTCCCTAGACCAAATCGGAAGCTGTCCCAACCAAGGTAACTGTGCAGGCCCCAGCTCTCCTGGGCTTCCCCAGAATGGGAAGTGGCAGCTCTAGGACTAACAGGCTTTGGGGGAGGGGTCGAAGTGCCCTACGACCACGCCTATCTTCAGTCATTCTTAGTGTGGAACTGTTTACTTCCTAGGGAACATCTGGTGCTATCAGGGTCAGGATGCTTCTGGGGCTATGCCAAGACTCTCAGGATCATCAGGAAAAAGTGCTGAGAAAGGGCATCTGAGAGTAGGAACTTCAGGTTGGGACCCACCTCTAGTCAATTCTCCCTCCCAAGGCTTACCACTCAGCCCCCCACCCCATAGTCTTTCCTGACCCTCATGGAGCAAGAGCATTCAAGAAAAGACTTCCTTCTTTACATGCCCATACCATGTAAAGCTAGAGCCCGCACCAACCGTGAGGCAGGCTGGCTGCTGTCCAGGCATGACAGATGGGGTAACTGAGGTACAGGGAGCTTCAGGATGGAAACCAAGTCTCAGAGCCACTCAGATCCAAAGCCAAGATCCGAACCAAGATCCGAACCAGGCTGACTACCTCCAGAAGCCTTGTCCTTTGCTCCACCCACCCCACAGTGCTTTATCCCACAGGGAATTTTATGTTTCCCCATCCTACCTGGCCATAGCCAATCTCAGAACCAACAGGGAAATGATGCCCTCCTTGAGCAAACCAGGTGCTGTAGGGTCTGCATGGTTCAAATCCCTCTTCCCCGGGACACTGGTAAGGTCCTGTGCCATACAGGGTCTCCTCTAGCACCACTGAGAAAGCTTTCTCATCACCTCCCAGCTTGTCCCAGAACCCTCTCTGTTGATTGAGAGTTTGGCCTTCTAAAGCGGCTGCTTACTTCAGCAGAGGGAAAGCCCTAGAAAGCCAAACCTCAACTTGGTTTCTAATCCCAGATGCAGTCAGTCCGTTGCTACCCTTATCATCACTACTAGCCTACAAGGATGGCATAGAAACTGTGTCTCCGACACACACCCACACTTCTCCAGTCTACATCAGCACATTCTTCTCAGTTCCTTTGCCAACACCAGGGTGGAGACAGCCAGAGCACGACTTCACCTACCACCCTCTTCCACAAAGAAACTAGGAAGCTTAGCAATGCTCATGCCTCCGCAGAAACCACTGCTCATACCTGATGAATGCTCTGCTGGAGAAAAGTCACCAGGTCCTCACAGCAGGTCCAGCTATACAGTGTGAGCTGTGAAGAAACACACACAGGGTGAGCTACATTTCCCCAGGGACTGAACCCCATGCTGGGTCAGGCCCTGGCTTTACTACAAAAAAAAAAAAAAAAATGCATGAGTTTTGTGAGTGACCCTGGGCTGTCCAGGACTACTGGGTAAGCTCTAGTTAGTCCTCTTGTAGAGCCTCCACACTCCCGTTATAGTACACCAGGGATCCAGCTCCCTGTCTGTGGAGGGTAAAACAAGGAAGAGGAGGAGCAGGGAAGAACCACTTCTCCATGTCATCAAGCTGGTCTCAGGCAGGTCAGGGAAACACACACACACACACACACACACACACACACATATTTCCAGAAACATTCAATCAAACAAGGTCCTGAATGAGGGTTCAAGGATGACATGTGTGCATGGATAGGCATAGGAAACAAGTTGGCAAAAATAGTCAGTGAAGGTGTTTGAGGTTTTAAATATCTTCACTGTGTCTGTGTTTTCAATAATACAAGGTATCTCCTATTTCTTCCTTCACTTGTACTTAAGTTGGGCCTATGGCTGCTGCTCCATGTTATCAATGTCGGCTCCCCCTTTCTACATTCCACTGCCTCTCCCCATCTATGAGAATGCTAGAAAAGATCCTAAAGACACAGGAGGGGCAGAAGGCCAGCACAGCAAGGGACTCTGCACACAGGGTACTAAGGGCACTTCTATACCTGTGCACATAGAGGTGATGAGGAGACATTGGGCCTCTCAGCCACTGAGACAGCTCCCAAAGCTGATTGACAAGAGCCAATCCCCAAAGCCACCCAGCTCTCCCCCACTCCCAAAGGGCAGATTTCTGGAGCCTGGGCTACAGGGATGGCCAGCCAGCCCCAGCTGGGGGAGGATTTACTTATAGGAAAGGAGATAGTCCCCAAACAAAGCCAAAGGTGGCACGATAGTTTTCCAGAAAGCCGTACTGTTTCTAAGACTCCATCTGCTTTGTATTTCCCTGTTGGACTGAAGTGCGGTGTTCCTGAAGCCCTAAAAAGGAAAAGAAGGTGCGTAAGTCCTCCACCAGATGAAAAGGCATGCCTTCCAGCCAGCAAGACCACGTGTGCCATGAAATAAATGAGGGCAGGAGTGACAGCTCCAGAGAACAGAGCCAAGGACTGCTTGGTTTTCCTGCTATGAACTCACCCACGAGTGCAGGCATGGAAAAAGAGAGTGGTGGGCGAGCTTGGAACAACCACGCCTAGGTCTGGCAGGAGGTGACCTGATTCTCCCTTACAGTTGGCAAACACATCTGCAGAGAAAGGACTGCTGGCTTGACACTGTCTTCATCCAGACCAAGGAGTCTAGCCATCCTCTTAGAAGCATCCCCACCCACTGAGACTCCCCCAGCAACAAAAACGAGTGTGTCGACCAGGGCAGCCCTGACTAACAGTAAGATATGGGTTTGTGACCCACTTGCTTCTATGTGGCCTGGGACAGATCATCTTTCTTCTCAGGGCTTCTGTTCCATAAGCTCTTGTGCCCTCTGGTCTTAGAACTGGCAAATAGCCAGGTGCCAAGGTTAATAAGCTGACTGGCATAGGATACCAAAGGCAGGTAACAGGAGCCTACAACCCCACCCATAACTGATGTGATACCCAGATACTGCCCTAAGTACATCACATTTATTATCCACCATCTATTTACATTAATAAATGATGCATACTGATAACATTACTATATCAAATACATATAATTTATTCATACTTATTCATTTAGTTCTCATAACCATTAAGCCATCATTATTATCACCCCCATTTTCTAAACAAGCGATCAAATGAGGCATAGGGAGGTGGGGTCAGTTCCCAAGGTTACATATCCAACAAGTAATAGTTTTGAGAGTCTGCCTTAGAAAGACTCCTTTCTTATGCATTATGTTAAATCCCCAAACCACCTCCTTTCCCAAAGCTTAGCCACAGAGCTGGGGCAGAGTGATGTTTCTACCCCGAGGGGTAGGGCTGAAGATCCAGAAGATGACCTGCAGGACTGTGGGGCAGGATGAGGAAAGTTGATGGTGGGCCAAGGTAACAGAATTCAGGGGCTAGGCTGCAGCCTCTACCGCTCACCTCTCTATCTCATCCTCACTGGAATGAGGTTCCAGTGACATAGCGAGAAGTATGCTTTGGGGTCTTGGATGGTGATGCAAACTGGTGATGTCACAGCTGAGTCAGCCTGTGGCCCTAGGATCAGGGAAACACAGAGGGGAACTACATGCCCAGATCACAGGCTTTCTCCTGTGCTTCCCAAATCCTGGGTGGCAGGCAAGCAAGAGCACATCCTCCTGCATGAGCCTGGACCTTGGACATCAGCAAAACCCAGCTGCTCATCATACAGATTCTCTCTGTCCAAGATCAGGAGTCTCAGCAAGTAGCCAGGCTAGAACACATTGAGGATTAAATGTGTCATGGCACCCAGAACCACTTACAGTGCAACCACGGCTTGCTCTCTGCCTCCAGCTCGCCACAGGATGTCTGCAATGGCCAGGGCAAGGCAGTGGGTCCTCTGGGCATCTGAGGGATACAGCCGGCTGATAAGAAAGGGAACATGTTCAGGTTCATGAAGACACAGAGCAGAACAGGCATGCCCCACAGAACATGTTTAGGTGGACCCTCTGCACATGGCTTCTCTTTCCTTGCAAGCTAGGAGCTCCCCAGCTTGGCTTCAGAGTCAGCAGCTGAGGATCATGGGAGGGCCTTGAGGAAGGACCTTGTACCTGAAGCAAAGAGGGCCTCAGAGGCTTGGTGAGGCCTGGGCATGAACTGTAAGATTTCTCATTCTGACAGAGCCGAGAATGCTCTAGCACCACGGACACAATAGTCAGGTGTGAGACACTATCCTGCTCTAGTCTTGGCCAGTCCCAACAGCTAGGGACAAACAAGGCCACAGTAACCAGCAGCCAGGACCCTGGAGCAGCTGTGGGGGTGCTACCATGCGGCAAACTGAAACAAGTGGCAGCAGTGGCCGGTCTGTGGCGGGGCCTGCCACTCCCCAGGCCTCTGAGCTCCAGGTGCGTGTGAAAAGCTGTGATATTCATGGAAAGCAGAGGACAAAGTGGGGCTGGCACAGATTTCCTGGATGAGAAAGGCTGCTAGGCTGGACCTCTGGGATGCGAGGTAGATGCAGGAGAGGAAGGTCAGAGAAGAGCAGGACTCAGGGCAGCAACATGTAGGCGCAGGGTAGCTTTAGAAGCTCATCCAGGCACCACATCCAAAGCTGCTGAGCCATCCTGCAATAAAAAGGGTGACTAAGAGGTTCCTGGGGCACGGCGAGAATAAAAGGGAGGAAGGCAGCAGCCAAATATAGCCGTTTCTTTCCACTTGACATTTCCAGGGCTCCTTTGTGCTCTGCGCCCTGGCTTTTCTCTGTGCTCTGTGGATCTCCTCTATACTCTTGCAGAAGCTGGCTTGAATCTCCTCCTAACCAACAAGATGAAGACCCGCTGGGGGCAGGGCAAAGGAGTGCACACAGGAGAACTCCAGGTTTTTCACTCGCCAAAAATGCCTGACCTCCACACTGAGGGGTGTGACGGAGAGAATGTTGGACTCTCTCCCTCCTGCCAGGGGAAGAGGAGAAAAGCCAGGAGAGCAGCACACAGCTACCATGGTGGGTCACAGATTCATGCATCCACATCCAGATTGTCATTGAAAATTAAAATCCAACTACTTTAAAATAAAAGGCAACAAGACACAGTGGTGCCTCAGTTTCCCCATTTAGAAACTGACACGGATCTCCCTCAGTGTTGGGAGCCTTCAACAAGACACTGCACATGATGCATGGGGAGTTTTCGGTCACTGGTTCGTCACTGCTGTCACCACATGGGCCACATCCACAGACAGGAGGTTTCACCTGACACCTGACAGTGCCTGGAGCTCCTGGCATTGGCAAGGCTGCAGAGGCAACAAAATGAGCAATGAGGCTCAGCCTGGAAGAAAATAAGCCAGTGACCGCCTGATGCCTCCTCAGACTCAGGAAGCCTGCCGTATTCCTCACAGGAAATGGGAACCATATCATCGCCAAAGCGGATGGCCTAAGCTGTTAGGAGCACCAACCCAGGTCAGCCAGGACTTGCTGGGAAAATAACATTAACAAAACATTTTTCTGGGTTTCAGGAGAGGCCATGTCTGGGACAAGGAGGCCTGGGTGGCAGAGATGGGAAGACAATAGGAGAGAGAGTTGGATGTTTGTTTTTCAGATTCAAAAACTACAAACAGGCTTTACAGCTCTCCAAACAACAGTGATGGCTTACTTATTGCAGCTCACATCTATCTCGCCTCCCCTGTGCTCCACCGAACAGCTACAGCTGCTCCCTTCCCACCCTGCATTTTTCCTCTCCTAGACCACCTCTAGTCCTGTATTACACATTCACCAGCATGTTTGAGGTGGGGCCTCTTCCTACAATGGTCCCGACTCCATCTAGATGAAAACTCCTAACCTGGTAGTTGTGTAAAAGAATGCCTAAACAGAAGCATACTGCCTGGTACACCTATCTCTAGGAAACCTACAGCCTAGGAGCCAAGGGGACCCCATCTGAGCATTCCAAATGAATGACCGAAGCAAGCAATCTTTGCTTGGAAATATCTCAGTGCAGTGACATTCAAGATACATTTTTTTCATGTGCACTGGTGTTTTCCACGCATTTATGTACATGTGAGAATGTCAGATTCCCTGGAACTGGGGTTACAGACAGTTGAAAGCTGTCATGTGGGTGCTGGGAATTGAATCTGGGTCCTCTGGTACTTTTAACCAATGAGCAAGTGCCAGGCACTGGTGATAAGAACTCCATATGTATCATTTGGCAAAACTGTAAAAACAATCCCATGAGCTCAGTACTGTATACCCTCTTTTAAAATGAAGAGTTAAGTCTTGGGAATTAAGTGCTTTATACAAGTCATGGGGAAGAAAGAGGAAAGGAGAGTATGGCAAAGTGGGGCTAATCAGGGTTTTAGGAACTGTCGCCTGCCTTGCAGCCCATCTGTCAGGCATCTTATGACACAATCGAAACAGCATGCTCCTGGGCCAGTATCTCCCTGTTCCCACTGGCATTGCTTGCAGCATTGCCTCTCTGAGCTGTCCTGTTTCTATAGTCCCCACTGTGTCAGCTTCCAATTGGCAGATTCCGCAGCTTCCCACCTTTCCCTGGCCTTCTCCATCTTTCTAAGGCATGGCTTCTTGAGACCTTAGTTTCTAGATTACACATTTTCTAGATCGTGGAAAATGTGAAGAGGTCTGGGGTCAGTATCTGACACCCAGGCAACAGGGAGCCCCATACCCTCCTTAATATTGCTGTTCTGTCATTTATTTTATCTAGAGTTGTCATGGTTCTGTGTCACACACACACACTTGAGCACACATACAAGCATGCATGCACGCATACCCACAGATGCGCACTTATCCCAAAGGTGATAACAAAAAGATGGTTCACCTGTAACCTGCCTTCATATCCAGGACCTTCACATTATCTGGGCAACAGATTCACTGGTGGCCCCTTGGTGTCAGAGAAGGTCCTACATTGCCTAGACAGCAGACACACATCTGTCACATTCCCGCCAGCAACCTGGCCCCCAGCCAAACTCTTACAACAGAAGTTTCTTCAAGAGTCTAATTCCTCCAGAAGCGCAGGCTGAAGCTCTTGGGGGTGGGGGAGAGGGCAGGGTGAGGGGTGTTTGGGTGGGAAGCCACGAACCCTGTGCTTGCCCAAGTGTTTCAGAGAAAACAGTTGCTTCTGCCCTAATTATTTCTCCACAGTTGTGCCCATGTGAACCAAGTCTATATAAAGTTCTGGATAAAGCTAGTCAGTGTGTACACGCCATGGTTCCCTCATTTCTGCCCCTCTGAGGGAGGGCAGAGGGCTGGCTGGGAGATCCAGAGGCAAGTGTTTCTCCTATGTACCCCAAGTCCCACGATTTCAGAAGGGAAGTATCAGGAGAGGACGTCCCAGACCTTCTCTCCACATTCCTTTTCAACCCCAGGGATCTCTTGGGGCCTATGGAGGGGATGAGCCAAACTGCACAAGTCCTCCTGGCCAGTGGAAAAACACCGCATCCTGCTGCCTGGCTCTGTCGGGCTGACTGAGGCAAGCCAGCTGCCAGCCTGATGGACTGGGCCATAATGAGGCCAGACAGCCACACAGAGAACACATGGCCCTGCCAAGCAGCATTTATTTCTGCCTGGCTTCCCTGAAAGAGCCACCCACCCTCAGCTCTGCTCTCCTAGATCCTTGTCCCTTTCTGTGGATCCTTTAGACCCGGTGCGCAAGAATCCAGCCCAGGAGCTGCACACATTAAAGAAGCTTGGGCTGGCAAAGCACCCTGAGAAGCGGCACAGTTCCCAAGATCAAAGGAGGAGCTCGTCCACCTCCCCACCCCAACCCTGGTCTTTGTAAGCTGGGCAACTTCTGGGTGGAAGGGGATCTAGCATACACAGCCCAGGGAGGACCATGGATGGTTCCATCCTCCAGTACTAGGCGTACAAATCCCTCAAGCTGGAGATCTAAAACAGACATAATTGCGCGCACACACAACTGCAGAGTAGTTGTTTGTGCTCTTCTGGGCTAGGTTTTACTAAATTCGAGGAAGGGAAGTTCTGTGGAGAAGCACTTTGCAAACAGAGAGCAAAGAGTGTACTGGACCATCCATCTGCTGTTTCAAACTCCAACAGCCTCAGCCCCTCCTGCCATCTCTGGTCTCCGCTGCTTTGCAACAACATGCTGTGACAGGCAGTTTGTCACAGGCCAGGCTTGGCTCAGCAACGGTGCCAACTGTGACCCTGGAGCTAGCATCTCTCCATCTGTGGGCCTCAGTGGCCCCATCTGTACTGTGATAGGCTGAGTTCAATGGGTGTACTCACTTTCATGGCCCTGGAAAGCTTTTCAAAAGGCTCTGTTTACATTTTCTCAAGGAGTGCAACCTGAGAGGGAGTCTACTAACTCAGAGATGTGAGCCCTGAACTACTAGAATCCAGGTCCTGACCAGCTACTTCACTCTCTGCAGCATCACCCTGGGCAGACTCCCTTCTCCCTCAAGGCACACCATACCACTGAACAAGGATAGATACTATAGCCTTTAACCCGCAGAACATTAGAAAGGCAGAGGCACAACTGCCAATGGCACTCCCCACCCCACCCCCTCCTGGCCCAGAACAGCCCCTTGCTCTGTCTTCTATGAGCACTGGCCTAAGCCCTGTGTCCCCAGTGATTCCCCTCCCTTTTCTGAGGCAGGAGTATCATTCCTCTTATAGTAGACTACGAAGTGCATCAGTGCCCTTACTTGTAGCCTTTCGACCAGGAACAGTCCAGGCTGGTTAGCTGGAAGGGTCATAGGGACGTTTACAGATCACACACACACACACACACACACACACACACACACACACACACCATTTCTCCCTAAGTTTCCTTGGACTTCAGAGATCTGAGCAAAGTGTTCCTGCTTCCCTCTCACTGAGTAGGAAGGAACATCCTGTGCACTTAGCCTAAGGACCATGGGGATATGGGAGGCAGAAGGATAATAAGCAGCATCCAGAGCTATGGGGCCCAAAGAAACCTCCATCATCTTCCACAGACAGATCCTACATACACAGCATCACACAGTCACACGATACAAACCACGTACAACATAACCTACTATGAGAACACAATCCTCACACAACATCACCCATATATACATCACCCACCCCACAGAGTATAACCCAATGACATAACACAAACCCCACACAACACAACCCCCTTAAAAGATGGCCTACTCAATACCCCCAACACAACTTCAATATAATACAACCCCCATACAACCCAACCCTCACACCATATAGCCCACATACAACACAAACCATATACAATACGACCTTCAAATAACCCACAACACAGCCCCCAAACACAACTCATCCACAATATATTCACACACTACAACCTTCATATGCCATAACTCATGTACAATGTAACCCTCGCATCTAATACAATCCCACACATAACATATCCTCCAAGCACAGCACAATTATCACATAAAACAAAATTTACACACATGCAATATAATCCCACATACAATGCAACTTTTCTACATTCCACAGCTCCCACACACATATAGTCTCCACACAGCACGACCCCCTCAGTGTAATACAGCCCATACATGGTACAACTCACACATACACACAACACAGCTTCTCTCATGAAATACAACCCCTGCAGTAATTCAAACATACAGCACAGCCGCACATACAACACAACCTTCCCCCACATGAGCCCCACACAACACAAGCCCCCAACATTACAGCTCCCACACAGAACTCAATCTGCGTGCATCACGGCACCCCCAACAGCCACTTCCCTCTTCTTCTCCAGTGTGCGCCATCAGCCCGGGCACCCATGTGACCCAGGTCCTACATACAAACATAGCAGGTCTACCTCTGGGGTTCTGTCCAGTGAACCCACTTTCTTTCTCCAGATCCTACCACACAGGGGCGCTCAGCCAGGCCACATTTCTTCCCAATCCTCTCTAGCAGAACCCTGGTAAAGCTGCCCATGCAGCAGTGCATAATTAGGCCTACACAACACTTGACAGGTGCTAAACAAAGAGCGGCTGGTAATGGGAGGAGAGTATCACTTTTCACCACTTGGTAGCATTTTCTTTTGACTCAGAGTCACCTTAGGCTCCAACCTGGTGGGCTTCCTGCCTTCAAAGCTCTGGCTCCCTTCCCTGTAGACTACAAGAAACTAAAATGGCTTTTGTCCTAGGCAGCATCCCATTCTGGAAACAACTTCAACACAGCAGCCCAACAACTGGGAAACCATCTATGTATGACTTTTCCAGAAGTCCAAAGCTAGTGATCTAAAGAGACTCTGAAGGGGCTTTTGGCTGACATGAGTCATGAGACCTTAGTCAAGAGGGCCAGAGGCAAGGCTTACTCAAAGCTGCCAGTAGTCCCAAGAGCACAGAGGCCCTTCTGGTTGCCTGGCCCTACCCCATCCCTGGTCACCTCAGGCAACCCCTGTTCTTCTCCCTGCCCTAGGGCCTTTGCACATCTTGTTCTCTTTACTGGAATACCATTCTGCCTCCCCTCCCTGCCTGTCTGGGCAACTCATTCATTGTCTGTGCACTCACTCAACAAAAATCCTAAGGGCCTCTCCTGTGGACCAAGCATTGTGCCAGATTCTAGGAACCAGCCTGTGGACCAGGCATTTCAGGGATGTCCCTGTTTTCATGGGGCATGTGTTCTAGGAAGGAGGCAGAGATAGACACCTAACTGCTCTAATGAACAAGAATACAGTGAGTGGTGGGGTAATTAGAGGCAGAGCATGAGGGTCAAGGAGGGCCTTCACTGACAGGATGGTGAAAGGGGCCAGCATACAAACCACTTGGACACACAGGGAAAGAGTTTGAGGGTATGTGCTGAGAGGAAGGAAAATTTAGAGGAACAAAAGTATAATGTGGCTATGTGTGGAGAGGAACAAGAGCTTCCTTCCTTCTGCTGACACCAGAAGTAATTCAAATGTACCTACAGGAAGCCTGCTCTCTTGCCCTTGGTAACACACACAGCCCCATCACCACCCTTCTATTTTTCTGGTCCTCCTGTTCAGTTCCAGTGTCCCTGAGGGGAAGGGTGCCACTATCAAAGCCCTATGTCCAAGTCAAGAAGGGAAATAGGCAAGGGCCCTGCTGATGACTGCAGGGGTTCCTAGTTCAGCAGGAGTGTCAAGTGCTTCTGGACAACAGAGAGTGCTGGCCTCACCGGAAGGCAATAGCAAATCTCAAACCTCTGGTGGAGGGAGAAGCAGCACTGGCTTTTCTCGTTGCACAGAGGTGTTCTAGGAGTGTTGACCTCCTGGGGATGAGCCTAGATACAAATACTTTGTATGTGAAATTGAAAATGCGTGGCCACAACAGGGAGAACGTCATGCACAGTGGAGTTGGCTGGAACACGCAGCTTTGACTGTTGACAGAGAAGAGATAAGCAGGGAGGGAGAAGGCCTTTGACCTAGTCAGAGGATCAGCAGGTACATATGGGTGTGGAAGAGGGTCTGAGGAGTCAGTATGCAGAGCCATCTTCAGTCACTTGCCACGTGGATTAAAACATGACTTACCAACTTTGCCTTGCTCCTAGAGCCAAGAGTAACCATGTCCATTTAATCAGGTCAGCGGGAGCCCTGCTAGCTAGCTGCCTTCACCCTTGTCCTTCTTAACCTCCAGGAGATGGGAAATATCAGGGAACGCCCACACTTCCGTGCTTATTTATTCTGGACACTCTAAAGAAGCCTCGGGAAGGGAAGATGAACATTGACTTACAGATTAGAGTTGGCTTTCCTATCTCCTTCAAACAGGAGCTTCTGCAGCACACATCCTTGAACAGCTGCCAGAACCCCACAGGGACCACCCTGAAGAGAAAGACACGTGTCACTACCAGGGAATACTACACTTCTTGGCCCCAAGAAGCTGTCCATCCCACCCACTAGCCTCTAGCCCCTGTCAGAGAGGGTCTTCAGCAAGGTGGCCTGTCTATATGTAGAATCCTAGACCTCACCCTGCTCCAAGGAAGAGGTCACTTAGATCCTTCCTCATAGTGTGAAAGTGACTATTTACAAAGTCAGCCAGGAAGCTAAAGACATGACCGTGGATTTTCTATCATACTCAAAGACAGCTTCCACCATGTCCAAAATTGCCATAGCAATAGTCAGAATATCCTTGAAGTTGTGGTAAAAGAGAAGCTGACATTGGCCACACCACAGAGGGAGGCAGAATCTCCTGTCTCAAAGCCCTTCCTCAAACAGCAGAGGCAGGGGATACTCCATGGCCGCAGAGTGTGCCTAGTGGAGTTGTCCTGCAGCTTTTGGCCTCAGAGTGGGAAATCTTGAGGACTTCCTTGAGACTATCCTACCGGATATACCCAGATGAGGTGCAAAGCTTCCTATATCTTCCTATGGCTCTGTACCAACCATGGCACCTTCTTCCCACACCTGTTTCACACTCATGATGCCTTAGTATCTTTTATAGCACTAACCTCCCCCTCTTGCGCTCTTGCCTCCATTTTCTGAAAGAGACCCTCTCTAGCTCTACCTTTGAAACCCTCAGCCCCTCCCAAGGTTTGGCCTACAAAGCCTCTCAAAGCCTCCAAGCATGCTCAAGGCCACCATCTGTTTGCTGCTTCATGTTGACATCCCAGTGTCACGGGAAATGAGTTTGACTAGAATGATCCCAGCAAGGATCACAACAGCTCTTCTCACTTTAGCATCTCCATCTATTACGCGCCTGTACGGAGTGGCAACTTGTTAAGTATAGGGTAGACCAGATCATCCCACTGATGCTCTTAGAGATCACAATGTGAATGATGCCCCCACTTTGTGCATGACAATCCAGAAGAAGGATCGCTGGGGACCTCAAGAGCAACCTACCTTGTTCTGCACAATGCCGTATTTTAATGAGGCGATATCATTAAAGGAAAAGTTCTGAAGTTTCCATTCTTCACTGAAGCAGCAAAAGGTAGAGCCGAACAGAAGGGTCTTTATCTCCTGGGAGGGAAAAGCATTTTATTAGCTGTTAATAAAATGAACAATAACAAGTCTTTCAGCACAGGCCCTACCAGAGGTGGTCTTGGGTTCTAGAAAGAAGTGCATTTTCTGGCAGTAGTCTCTATTTTGCAAGCCCCTTCTTCACATATTTGAGGAAGATAAACCGACCTTAAGGGTCTTACCTCTGGAACATCTGTAAACCACACCAGCCCATGCTAACATTGCCCAAGAGTTTCCTTACACAGACCTTGAAATAATAAACCTTTGGCTTCACAGGGGATCGTAGAGGTCCTCAGATCCTCCATCGGAAAGAATGTTTCCAACCTGACCTCACATTAAAATTATCTAGGGGCACTTAAAAATAATCCTGATGCATAGGCCACAGCCCAGGTCAATTCAATCCACATCCCTGAGGATAAGAGCCTGTTGTCCACAGAGCTGTTTGTTTTGCAGGGGTGTGGAGGGTGTTACTGTTGTGAGTTTGTGTGCATGTGCATGAGTGCGCTAGCCTCATCCTCATTATCAGACTTTTATACTGTCCCAAATGATTCAACTTTGCAGGAAGGTTTCAGAGCCAAAACCCTGGCACAATGTTGGCAAACTACAGTCCATAAATTAAATCTGGTACCTACCTACTTTTGTAAATAAAGTTTTATTAGCACACAACAATGGGCATTGTTTATATTTTGTTTCTGAATGCTTCTACATCATAGCAGCAGATATGAGTGTCTGCAACAGAGACTAGATGTAGCCCTGAGCAAAATCAAAAGCATATAATCTAACTTTCTGAAAAAAAAAAAAAAAGAAAGAAAGAAAGAAAGAAAAGAAAAGAAAAGAAAAGAAAAGAAAAGAAAAGAAAAGAAAAAAGAAAAGAATCCTCTCTAGGACGCCACTTGTAAATTGATCTCCTTTGAATCTCTGGAGAATCTACCACCCAGGCGGCTTCCTGCCACCTCCCAAGACCATGTCTCCACCCTTCCAGTTCTCCAACATCTCTAGATGGCAGAGAATATTCAGTTTGTGGTTCACTTCTACTAACCCAAGCATCTTTGTCCAGAGCTTTGTTATATCAATGCTACACACTGATGTGCCCCACCCTCTGCTGAGCCAGGATAGTCTGTGGGTTTCAGTCAGCAGTTTTACTACAGGTGTGGGGGCAGGGTACTCTGAAGCCTCAGGAAGACTCTAGGACTAACAGGCTGCTCTCCAGCCCCTCCCTGGAGCCTGATCTCAAGGTCAGGCTCCTCCTGTGGACCTGAATCACTGGCCACTACAATCAACGCTTTCATCTCTTTCTTTGGTACAAAGAATCTTCGTGACATGAACATTTGTCTACATGCCATCATTAAATGTGGCTCGTAGCATAGCAGATAAATAAACTCATCCATCAGGGCGTGGTTCCCCCTCTGTGCCAAGTGCAACCATGAATGTGCTTAGGATGCATTTCCAACAGCCTGAAAACTACAGATTTGGGTCTTCTGCGTGGACCCTGTCGCCATCCTCTGAGACAATTCCAGGGTACCAGTGTGTTTAACAACCCCAGAAGCCTAAGCCCTGTCCTCTCCCATCTGTGACACTCACTCCCCTTGATTGGTTTGGGACATACTTTAGCTGGGCAGTCTCTGGGAGCCTCCAAGGGCTCAGCAGCAACTGGAGGTGCCTTGTGCGGAGGACTAGGGCCCTGTGGCTATGCATGGTCAGGACATGGGTGCCCAGCATTGGGGCGTCTTCCATGTGTCTGGGCCCTCAGTAGCTTCAAAAACTGGAAGGAGAGCAAAAAGGAACAAAACAGGAAAGGGGAAACAAAACTCTAGAAAAATCTTTACATCACATTTATGTGCCAAGTGCACAGAGTTAAGTGGGACAAGGAGGATGCTGGCTGCATTTCTAGGAGCTTCTTGATTTTCTTCTGGATCCTGGCTGAACAGCTGATGTGGAACAGCAGGAACAAGACTCCATCCTATAGGAGCCTCTAGCCAAATGAGGGGTGAGCCACCCGAGAAATTGAGGGTCCCAAGGAACACAGAGCACTCTGCCAAGAAGACCATTAGGTAGGGAACCTGTGTCCTGTTGCCATGGGTTCATCTAAGAGGTTACAGGTTCAAATCTGGGTACGCTGAAGACCTGCCAGCACTTCCTGTCTTTCCAGCTCTGCAGCTGCTCCGAGCCTAGGGCATGAAGTCGGCGTAGGCACAGAGCCAGGTGGTAGGACAACTACCCCATTAATGTCACACCACAGCAGCTGAGGCAGCTCTGGGCCATCAAGGAGCAGGGTCCTGCAGCATCCAGAAGAGGAAAACCCGGTCCCACCCCCACACCCTTTGTCTTAAGGAGGCCAAGGAACAGTGAGGACTAAAACAGTCTTCCTGATCCTTGGTTCTGGTTCCTTATATGTCCCATTCAAGTTCTCATCTCAACAGTGACCCGGAGATTACAATGAGAAAGAACCACCAAGCCAAGAAAATTGAAGTTGTGCGATCTGCATTGGGTTGTGTTTACTGGGGACTCCTTGCACCTCTGCATCGACACCTACCTTCGCCAGTGAGAGGTCAATTGGCTTTGACACAGTTTGCAGCTTGAGCATTGATGGGGGTGGGGACAGGACAATGTTTTCCTTTATCATTTCATCGTCAACATCCTCTGAAAGAAAACAAAGCCGTGGTGTGGCTCAGGGGAAATGGAGTGGGGAGTCACTTACACCGCCACCACAGTGAGGAGTTTGGAGAAACTTGAGCAGTGTCTCAGCCTGAACACCAGCCTCTATATCAGGCCTCAGGGCTATTCCAACCAGGAAAGAAAGCAAAGAGGGGCCCACTCCTTGCCACCACCCCTCCCTTATTGTGCCACATGTGGACAGAGGAAATCAAGTGCCTTATAGCCTTCAGCCAGGCCCAGCCAGGCCCAGTGCTGACACACTCTTTACAGAAGGTGGCAGGAGGCACAAGTCTCTCTCCCCAAGGACACATGAAAAGAGTTCTGTAAAAATAACAGTATATTCTTACAACCATCACTGTTATTTATTGATCATTGATCCACCCAACCCCAACTTAGCTTTTTAGAGCTTGATTACTAACTGGCCCCACTTACAACAAGGACACAAGGCTAGGCAGGGAGAAAGTGGTAGAGGCAGGACACCAACCAAGCTGACTGTAAACCACTTGGTACCCTGCCACCCCTGGACCTCCAGCCAGCAGGGACTCCAAGACATCCCTCACATCTTTTAGGATCATCTTTTAGGATGATCGAGCCTAAAAGAGAATCCTGCCAAAGACTGAAGCAGCAGAAGCAGAAGCAGCAGCAACCTGTGACGTCTCAGCTCACAAGACCCTCTGGCCTGCCCCCTTCTGTGCAACATACACTAGGATGCTCAGACAAAGGACCCCGGGAGAAGGCACCCCTGTGTAAGCATGCTGGCAAAGCTGAGCACATACTTCCCAGAGACACTGCCAGAGTGGGCCTGGCATTGGGGGAAACGCACAGGGGTAATCTCAGGACAGCTTCCCACTTGGACCTTACTCAACAACCTCCTTTTCAGCCACCACACAAGGAAAACTCATCCGCTGAATAAAAAGATAAGACATCAAAGTGGGGTGTGGGCTGTTAGAAAGGGTTTCAGCAAGAGAGAGGGGATAAAAGACAACAGTGGGGTAAAAAATGACTAAAATTCACTCTGTATATTTATGAAACTGTCAAAGAATTTTTATAAGGCTGAACTTTAAGAAGCTAGATTTAAATGAGACCTTTCTTAGTTTGAATCTCTGGAAATGTTACCCTGTGACCATGGCCTTACAAAAATAACCAGAAATGGGAACCAGATGTTCACTCAGCAATGTGAATGGATTTTAGAAACATGGTACTGGGTAGGAAAAGGAAGAAATCAAATGAGATGGCAAATAAAGACCAAGCAATGCCCCAAACTGTGTAGGAACAGATGCAGCTCACGCCCAAGATAGTGAAAGAAAATCAGGGCAGAAAGGAAGAAGAACACAGCTGATGGGCAGACTTTATAAAGATGCATGGTGAGAGCAGAGACCAGAGACACGAAGCTAATCCTACCATGGGCACCAGAGGCCCCAGCCAATCAGGCAGAGCAACCTAAGTAACTCCACCAGGCCTGAAGGGCTCCTTGCGATGCCTGGGGTCAACCTGATTCCTAGGGGATGTTAGGGACAGTAGGTAAGCTCATTTGGAGGCTTCTGTTTCATATATTGGGAGGGGGCAGGAGGGCAGCAATACAGTCTGCTCAGCCCATGAAGAGAGAAGGGGAGTCTCGGAAACAGGGCCCATATTACACATATGGGGTGGGGATTAGCTGATGAGCAGGCAACCTCCCTTGGCTTCTGTAGGGAGGACCTGGCCCAGCACAGGAAGTTGGTTCAGGACCACATAGCAGGCCTCAGGACCAGATGTGGTAAGACCGCCATGCAAGGGAACAACAAGCAGTGAGGAGTGACATGTTGGCCAAGACACCAAACTGTCTGCAAATGCCAGTGGTTTGAGAATGCTATTTTTAAGGCTATCATATGAATGTTTGGTTGAAAGAGGCTAGGGCTTTGTTTTCCCATTTCATATACCCAGACCAAAAGGATGCAAAAGGGAACACTGATCCTCTCCCAGAATGTGCTGCCTCTTTTCTGTACCCCCATATCCCTTGCCCCTCAAGCGCTGTGTTTCTTTCCTCTAACTGTTCTCATCCTTTACATCCCTTGCCTTATCTGAACCATATTCCAAGCCAGCAGCAGAGAGGGTCTCCTTCCAGAGGGCATGTGCATACACTTCAAATGGCTTCTGGGAACTGCCAAAGAGCCTTCCTTCCAAGCGAGGCTCTGAAGGCAGGGAACTGTGTTGCTTTGTGTCCAAACACAAGCCACTTTCATCAGAAAAGATTCAAGAGCTTCACAACCCAGAGGCTTTGAATGTCAGGGCTTCTTGACTCTGCAGAGGCTTTACTTTACTCTGCACGGTCATGGGCAGAAACCTGCCCTTCCGGGCAGGACCACATCAACCCCACCAGCAGTTCCTGGTGATTTCTGAGGCTCTGGTACCTCTGAAGTGTATTATACAGCATAAACAAGCATGTCTCCACAATCAGAGCCCTGGCCTGTACTTTGAGCTAGATCAAAGCTCACTGTCGGCTGCACATCCAACACAGGAACTTCTAAGAGTACATTTCTCCTCCTACAGCTTAAAAAGAGATGCTTAAAAGGGAGAAAGAAGTGGAGCGAGTGAATAGCTTCTGTGTGTTCCCCCCCCCCCCAAAGGCGAACAGGTAAAGGGACTGGCTTCCAGGAGAAGAGCAGACTCAAGAGCACTTTACCCCTGTCATTCTCCACGAGAGTTTCTGCCAGACTCTCTCTTCAAGGATCACAGACAGAAAGAAATTGCTTCCAAGCTAAAGAGGAAATAAATGCTCTGTCTTGATCTCAGAGTGCAGTCACACAGACAGCGGCACTGTGTGAAATGCACAGCATTGAGCGAGGAAGCTGAGCCTCTCACCCTTTGTGCATTTTATACCTCAATCCTGCTTGCAAACCTTCTAAATGAACATGCCACCCCAGTCAGAACTACCTCATATTGTGGCCTGGAACTGTGTTCCAAAACATTCTAAATGGTCCCAAAGATCTCCTGTGCCTGCAGCTGTACAGTACAGACCCAGGGAGAAGCAACCTAGTTTCAGATGGCTGGTCTGGTTTGGTTTGGAGAAACAATCTATCCATTGGTTGGTTGCTTGCTTGCTTTGACTTGGTTTGGGAAACAAGGTATTGCCATATGGTCCAGGCTGTCCTCTAACTTTGGATCCTCCTGACTGAGCCTCCTGAATGCTGGGGTTGTAAGCCTGTGTGACTACAGCCACCTATATAACCAATCCCTCTTTATTTTGTTTGCTTGCTTGTTTTGGTTTATTTTCAGATTTTTGAGTTGGTTTGGTTTTTGAGACAGGGTTTCTCTGTGCAACAGCCCTGTCTGTCCTGGAACTCATTCTATAGACCAGCCTGGCCTCAAACATGCAGAGATCCACCTGTCTTTGCCTCAGGGACTAAAGGTGTGTGCCAGCTTCGTGGCTTCCATTCCCTTTTTAAAGAACTATCCAGAAGAGAAAAGCAGGCAGTAGATGGAGACACTGAAGGAACAGAGCACCATGGCCCCAAAGTGGGTTATGAGGAACAAGTCCTGCCATTTCACCTAGACAGAGCACAGAGGGATGCCCCTCACCTACCTAGCGTCAGGGCCTCTGGCTTGTCACCTGCCTTGTCTGAAACCAACTGGTTTTTCCTGAAAAAAAAAAAAAAAAAAAGTCAGTGTAGAAAAGGAGAATGACAGAGGAACACAAACAGTACAAATAAATGCCAGGACTACTGGCCCTGATACCCAGAGAGTGCCCTGAGCAGGCTGAACACTGGCAAGTTCACTGATGTCACTGTAATACACTGTGGGGACGGGCAAAGGTCAAGTCTTATCATCAACGTTTCTCTTCAAAGACACATTGGATTCAAAGTCAGTTTCTTTCTTTCTTTTTTTAAATATTTTTATTATTATTAATTACACTTTATTCATTTTGTACCCCCCATAAGCCTCTCCCTCCTCCCCTCCTGATCCCACCCTTCCTCCCCTTTCTGCATGCATGCCCCTCCCCAAGTCCACTGATAGGGGAGGTCCTCCTCTCCTTCCTTCTGATCTTAGTCTATCAGATCACATCAGGAGTGGCTGCATTGTCATCTTCTGTGGCCTGGTAAGGCTGCTCCCCCCTCAGGGGGAGGTGATCAAAGAGCAGGCCAATCAGTTTATGTCAGAGGCAGTCCCTCTTCCCATTACTATGGAACCCACTTGGACACTGAACTGCCATGGGCTACATCTGTGCAGGGGTTCTAGGTTATCTCCATGAATAGTCCTTGGTTGGAGTATGAGTCTCAGGGAAGTTCCCTGTGTTCAAATCTTCTCTCCCAGCTTCCTTGTAAGACCATGTGTGGCCATTTAAAAGACTCCTAGGATGTACCCAATGTATGTAAAGGAAAGCGGCCCTGTGGTTCTGATTTGTCATCTGTGTGTATGCATTCAGAGCCTTCTAAAAAGGCTCTGCCCATGTAGTAGCTCTGCTTAGGTTTGTTTTCCTCTATCATGCATCAATCTAAACTAAAGGAAATAGAGTGTATTGAAAGTAACACTCTTACATCATTCTCCAGAAACTCATTTACTATGTTGAAAATGACAGTTCTTTTGAACATGGCATTGAAATATATTTTCCTCCACCGTCTTTGCAGGGTAAGATATGACTGCGGATAACAATCATAGTCTCGCCACGGTGCCCTCCATTGAACCGGCTTCCTCCTAAAGATGTATGAAGGGTGTGAGTGAAGACTGTGCGGGACACACAGTTCTCAGACCCTGTGCCTGTGCTTCGTGGGACTCTCGGTTTCTCTGTGATGGAACCCAGAGTTCCATCAACACTCCCTCCCAAGCAGCTTGATGCTGTGCCCATCCCATCCAGTGAAGCCCAAAGAACCTGAGTCTTATGCCACCAAGACTTCACAAGTGTTTTTGGATGAGGGGCCATGGCAGAAGAATGTTCTGAGAAGCTGGGATCAGGGGTCCATGGATGAAGAGCACCCCACCTCAACCATGAGGCAGAACTAAGGTTACCACAATCAAAAGCCTCTTCCCTCAGACTCTCCCCAGTTCATCTGCTATACAGCAAAGGCTGAGGAGCTGGGCACTTTGATGAAAGGAACAAGAAGCCCAGGAACAGGCAAAGAATACGAGGCCCAGGCACTTGCTCAAGATGGCTTCTATAGTCCTTGTGAAACATTTCAGGAAGGGACATCAAGGGTATCTCCCAAGTACTCCAAGGCTACCAAGGGCCCTCTTAAACCCACTTGGCCCTGCTTCTTCCTCTCTCACTTACAAAATCTCAGCAGCCTCTTATTGCTGTACTAACACCCAGAGTAGACCATCCTCAGTCCCCACATCTTCCCGTGACGTGTGTAGAGGCCAGTCTGATATGATATTGCACCCTCCACACAGTTACTTAAAGGTCCCTGCTACCCCTCATCACCTACAACAATTCCATGTTCACCAAAATAACCACAGCATTAACAACACATTCCTTCTAGCTCTTTGGATTATCTCAGGCACTAGAATATGTGCTTTGAAAACCTCAAAGGCTGTCTGCCTCTCAAAACTACTTTTCAAGTATTTACTTCCCTCGGTGTCAAGAGAGGTACAAGCAGTTTTCCGTGGTTTACATCAAGCAAGTGGCAGCTCAGGAATTAAACACAAGCCCCTATTCCAAGGGCAGTAGCCACCTCATATAACTTCCTTATAAAATAAAAACCAAGCCTCTTAAGAATGCTCTGCAAGGCTCTTCATGACCTGCCACCTTCTTTCCAGAGGCATCTCCTGTTGAGCAATCACACCCTACCTGCATTGCCCTGCGCTGAGGGACTCAGGATAGCCCACTCTGCTTTCTCATACCTCTGTACTGAATACCCTGCGGCAGATTTCTAATGCCCTGAAGTCCAATTGCAGTGGCTCCACCCAAAGCCTGCCTTCACTCATTTACACATTCACATCCCAGCACAAATGAAGGGCTTTTTATCAGGGCTGTCTCCCCGGCCAAAAACAAAAAAGCACAGTAAAACAAACAAAACAAAACAAACAACAAAAAAACGGGGGTGGGGGAACAAGATGCTGTGTCAGGCTAGCCCACAAAGATGTCCACATTCTAATTCCCAGAACCTGTGGCCATTATCTTAGAGCAAAAATGGGAGTGTGTAGGATCTGAGATGGGAGGATGATCCTGGGTTTTGAGGTAGAAACAATGCTGCACAAGCCAAGAGACCTAGCCCAAAAGAGATGAGGTGAGAAAAGCTGACACTGGGTGGACAGGCTTTGTGGATAGGAGAGAGGGCCACAGGCAAAGGACTATAGATGGGCTATGGAGAGTAAAAGGGCAGGGATACAGGCTCTCCCTCAAAGCCTTCAGAAAGATCTAGCCATACCAGCTCCTTGGCATTCATCAATGAACCTGATTTCGGATTTCAGCTTTCAGAGCTGTGAGACATCAAATTCATGTTCAGCTAGAGTGGGAGACTTACTATGGCATCAAGGAGGGAAACAGGACTGCAACATTCTCTTGTATCACTGTGTCTTGGATATCCAGCCGGTGCTCCATGGAGGATGCTAAATGAGGCAATAACCCTCCCAGAATCTAGGGGACTTATACAAGTAGCTGCACAATTTAGAACTGCCAACCCCAGGACTCAAACCCAGACCACTGGTTTCAAACACTCCACTCCGCTCACTCCTTTAATTTGTACATGCCGTCCCTGCCAAAAACTTCTATGGCATCCAAGGAATGGTGGGACAGAGTCTCAAATGTTCCTGGTAGTTCATGAAAGGGTGGGGACAGTGTGTCCATGGGCTGGGAACAGCAGGGCCTCTCCCCAGTCATGGGACTTCCACCCTGAGGGCTATCCATCAGTCACAGGAGAAGCTTAGAACCTTTGTGCCCATGTCCCATAGATCTCCTCACCAAAGGAGACCTCAAGTGTGCTCACATGTGGAGAATGTGCTATTGTTCCTTTCATGTATCCCTTTGTGGCACAAGCACTGCAGAGTTTAAAAGGTCAGTTTAAAAGTGTGTTCTTGCCTTTGAGTGAAAACTACTAGAAAAAACAAAGACAAAAAGATAAATCAAGGCTTCAAAATGCTTTCTCCAATGCCATTGTGCAGATAACCCAGAGGCATGCATCAAGACATGCATTGTCATACCTAGATGATCTCCACCCATTTCTGTTCCTTATCCCCCACAGTGAGAACAAAGAGGAAGGGTCCTGGGTTCAGGAGTACACAGGCCCAGGACTTAGTCCCTGAGTAAGTGAATCCTTGTCTGGGTGAAAAAGCCCCTGTGATTGTTGGCCAAAGGGGTCATAAGGGAATCCCCAAACAACCCAGGCTGCTGCCAAGACTATGGGTTTTTCTCTACAAACTCACAGCAAGAGCCCATTGCTAAAGACAACACCTACACAATTCACTGAACATGCAGAGGTCAAGACAGTGCTATACAGAACTTTCACCCCCTTGTTCTAATGTCTTTGGTACAGGAAGATATTCTGCAGGCTACCCAATGAGAAAAATAACCACTAACCCAGCCAAAAAAACCTTTGACCTGCCATCTATCCTGACTGCACGATATACTAGGGCAATGGTAGCACAAACCATGTGGGAGCAACCAACCAAAGTCTGATTTGGCTTATGGCTCTACATGAGATGGAGCCCATAGTTGAGACACTGTGTGAGTGACCAAGAGCCAGAACCAGAGAATGGATAGCCCAGAGACCTAGGAGAAAATCAAATACTACTAGTCTAAGAAAAGGAAAAGAAAGAAAGAAAGAAAGAAAGAAAGAAAGAAAGAAAGAAAGAAA